ACTTCTGCTCTCAAATGAGGCCACATGCCCAAAGCTTAATGAGGATGGTATCTTCTGTCTCGAGCTGCCATAGCAGAGTATCAGAGATTAGATGGTTTATGAGAAATATATTTATTTCTCATTGGTCTAGAGGTCAGGAAGTCTAACATCAAAATCCAGGCAGATGATGGCTTGCACCCTTTAAGATCAGATGAGCTTCTCACTTTGACCTAGAATGAGACCCCACACCACAGTGGCAGGGCATGCTGGGAGAAACTCACTCATACCACAAGCCAGGTTGCAAAGAAGACGAGGCCAGAGTCCCACAGTGCCCTTAAAATATGCCCTTAATGGCCTAAGGACTGCTATTAGGTCCCACCTGTACAGTTCTTACTACGATAGGGACCAAACCCTTTACACATGGCCCTTTGGGGACACTTGTCCAAACTACAGCACTACAGCAATGGCCAAACTTGCTAACTTGCTTACCTGTCTATCTTTCTATCTATCTATCTATCTATCTATCTATCTATCTATCTATCTATCTATCTATCTATCTATCTATTCTATCTATCATCTACCTATCATCTGTCAATCATCTATCTATTTATTTATATGAGACAGGGTCTCATTCTATAGCCCAGGCTGTCTTGAACTCTTTTTTTTTTTTTTTTTTGGTTTTTCGAGACAGGGTTTCTCTGTGTAGCTTTGCGCCTCTCCTGGAACTCACTTGGTAGCCCAGGCTGGCCTCGAACTCACAGAGATCCGCCTGGCTCTGCCTCCCGAGTGCTGGGATTAAAGGCGTGCGCCACCACTGCCCGGCTTGTCTTGAACTCTTAACAATCCTCCTGCCTCTGGCTCTAGAGTGCTGGGATTGCAGACATGAGCCACCACACCTTGCCAGATTGCTTTTTACAAGAAATTCGCTTTTGTGAAAATGAACCGAGCCCTGAGATAATAATATTGCTCATTTATGAATGGAGGACCCTGGTGACCTGGTGACCTCTGAGAGGCCCTGCCTCTCATGTGAACTTTTTAGTGCTCCCTCTACTCACACAAAGCAGCATCATGGGAAAAGCATTTTCACTTCACTTGGAGAAGCTGGAAACTCTAATTCTTACATTTGAAGTGATGGGAATTTTGCAAATCCACATTCCCTCGAGTATTTGTTTCTATAGAAAGGAGAATGAGTTTTCTGCCTAAGCCCCACAGATGTGAACAGATGTAAGTTGCTCAAGGGAATATGGACTTGCAATTACATTTTAATCTGAAAAATAAAATAAAAAGGAAGATGGAAATAGTTCTCATCTATATCAGCAGGTGAATGGATAAACAAAATGTGGTATGCCCATACAATGGAGTATTGTTGACCTATAAAAAAGAGCAAAGTGCTGGGTTCATGATACAGTTTAGAGGAACCTTGGAAATATTATGCTAAGTGAAAGAAACCAGGTGCAAAGGGCCATGTATTATATGATTCAATTTGCATAAATGGTCCAGAAAGCTCAATAGATAGAGACTGCAGTTGCCTATGGTGAAGGAAGTATGGAAGTAAGAAGGTTTCTAGTTTTTTTTTTTTTTTAGAGGAAATCTCTCTCTCTCTCTTTTTTTTAAGATTTATTTATTTATTATGTATACAGAAGAGGGTGCCAGATCTCATTACAGATGGTTGTGAGCCACAAATGTGGGTGCTGGGAATTGAACTCAGGACCTCTGGAAGAGCAGTCGGTGCTCTTAACCTCTGAGCCATCTCTCCAGCCCAGTTTCTAGTTTCTTTTTCATGTATTAGATGAAAATAGTTATACTTGTCCAACTTTGTGAATACTGTGTATTAAAAAACCATTGAAGTCGGGCGGTGGTGGCGCACGCCTTTAATCCCAGCACTCGGGAGGCAGAAGCAGGCAGATCTTTGTGAGTTCGAGGCCAGCCTGGTCTACAGAGCGAGATCCAGGAAAGGCGCAAAGTTACACAGAGAAACCCTGTCTCGAAAAAAGCCAAAATAAATAAATTAATAAATTAATTAAATAAAAAACCATTGAATTGTGTACTTTAAAATGGTCAGTCTTATGGTATGCAAACTATAGTTTAATGTTGTTTTTAAATTTAAAATTACATTTCTTTATCTATTCATGTGGGGGTGAGGTATGCTTGCCTTAGTATGTGTGGAGATCAGAGGACAACTTGTGGGAATCTTTTTCCTCCTACCTTGTGAGGCCTAGGGATCGAACTCAGGTCAGCAGGCTTAGTGGCAAGCACCTTTATCCATTCAGTCATCTTCCTGGCCCTTGCCTCTTGCTAATACTCCATCAGCAAAGAAGCCGACCACATCATTCCCAGACTTCTGACCTGCAGAACTATGAGATCATAAATGGACATTAAGCTTTGGAATTGGTAGTAATTTGTTATGTAGTAATGAATACAAATACATTTGAATATTAGTTGTTTAATTACAAATAACTTGATGCTACCATAATAATTGCAGTTAAATTACACCCAGGGGCTCTCTGAGTCAGTTAGAAGCACTTACAACAGCACTCTTGGGAGCTGTGCATTACTTAACCATAGAAAAGTGTTGTGTGAAATGCTTCCAGGGAAGGTCTGAATAAATGCCTATATACCCCAGCTGCAACTCAAGACAGATCAAGGAGCTATCCACCAAAATCCAACTTCATGAACTCATGAGTTTTTGGGATTTACCTACAAGAGTATGGTGGGTGGGAAGGCTGCTTACACAGGTAGAGAGATGATTCAAGGGAACCCCATCACTGAGAAGCTCAGCTAAGCCTGGGTAATGAGCCACAAAACCTGAATCCCTGAAGGTCCCTGAAAAATTCACAGGCAGTCAAACTTGTCACTGGTCTCCTCACCTCAGCAGTTGTTTTTATTTGTGTAACCCTGGGGAGGGGCTTTGTGAGTCTTCTAAGTTTCCCCTTTCCCCTTCTGTTTGGTTTGCTTTTTAAGTTTCTTGAGCACCTCTCTTTCCGGGAGTATGTATATTGAGCACCCTTCTTTCTGGGGGTGGTGGTGTATATTGAGCGCCCCTCTTTCTGGGGGGGGGTGTGTTTCAATTTGGAAGAAACTGTTACACAACAAAAAGAGTAGAGGGTCTACGCTTAGATCAGTTTGTATACCCGATATTGGAAAGACTCTCCCAGGCTCCACCGACTGGAGAGAGGATCAGTACTTTTGTGGAGTTCTGGTCTACCTCCTCCGGAGGCTGGTACTTATTTCTAAGCGGTGGTCTGGCTGTCTTGGGCATCTTGATTGCTGATGGTACTCTCTGGCACAGGGGACCCCATCCCATTTCAACTTCAGTTGTTGTGACATTTCTTCCTAGAATTTGTCTTCTTGCTACACTTGCTTTGGGCCGCTGCATGTCCTGGGACCACATGAGTGTTTCTCAGTGATGGCCGTTCAGTCTTCGTTCTTGTCTCCTATAGTTCTAGTTCTGAGTGGTTTCATAGGGCATCTTTATGCAGAGATTAGGTCCAAGTGTCAATCTGATTGGATTAAAAAAACCTATGGTGTTTATGAAGCACACCTTGGGGCAGGCCTGTGAGGGTTTCCCCAGAGACAATGAACTGAATAGTACTCTGAAGGTGAGTGACACCATCCCTTTACTGAATAAAAAGTGTAGAAGAAAAAAGCCAGTTGAGTCCTCATATTCTCTTTGCTTTCTGAGATGTGAGCAAGCAGCTTCATCCCCCGCCCTCCTACAGCCAAGCCTTCCCTACCATGATGGACTCAAATGGTAAGCCACAACCAGCCTTAACTCATATTAACTACTTCTTGTCAGGCATTTGCTCACAGCAACGGAAAAGTAACGACTTCAGTTTATTATCTCTCAGTGTAAGTAACACACCAGCAACCTCACTTCCACAGAGCTTAGACGTTGAATGTTAATTTTTTCAGAATCATTCTCCAATGGAGGCACATGCTCTTCAGTGGGGAACCCCAGCATCAAAATAACATGGCCCCAGGATCTATGAATCATTGATGTCCACTTTTGGTGCTAACAGGGACAGAGTTTGTCTGATGTAAGAACAACGTTTCCGTTTCCACTCTAGTTAGCAAATGTTTCATATCTGACTGCTTACACGATGATTTTGTGATCACAGATGTGGTTTTTTCATATCTTAGAAATGAGAGAAAGTAGAGGCTTCCATAACCCAATTATCTTGCAGGTATTAATTGTTTTTTGTTAATTGATGCCCAGGCTAACCTTGACTCACTCTGTAGCTACGGATGATCCTTGGTATTCCCATCTCTTCTCCCTCTCTCCTCAGTACCGAGATTATAGGAATGTGGCACCTCAGCTAGTTTATACTGTGCTAGGCATTGAACCCAGGGCTTTGTGCATGTCGGGCAGGTTCTAGAGAACTCACTCCTTGATGAGTTGGCCAGGTCAATTGTTTTCTTTTTCTTTAGTTTTTAATTTGACAGAAATCCTACATAGTTACTGTATGAAATCTAATGCTTTAGACATGTCTGTGTGGTGGACTAGCTAAATCAAGCTAGTTAGCATGTGCATTAGCTCACATACTTCTTTGTGATGAGAATACATAAAACATTTATATTCTTTGACTAAAATCTGTTTTCTCCCCTCCTCTTCATGCCTTCCCTCAGCCTCTGGTAACTACTATTCCAGTCTTTTTTCCTTAGGGACTCAACTTTTCTAGATTGAGCATATGAGATAACGAAGCATTTGCTTTTCTGTTTCTGTTCAGCTTGCTTTACTTAACATAGTGTCTCTCATATTCATCAATATTGTTAAAGCTGACAGGATCTCCCCTTTGAAAGCTGAATCATGTTTCATTGCGTGTCATTGTGTTTATGTGCGACCCTCTCCCTTACCTCAGTGTTGGGGGTAGAATCCAGGCCCTTGGGCCTGCTAAGCAATCTGTCTATCATTGAGCTCTGTCCTGTTTTGTAAAAAAGAAAAATTCATTTAATGATGGACACTTACCATCATGGTCTACGTTTAAATTTTCTTTCTCACAGTTAGCAATGTCCTTTTTAAAAATTTAGATCTGTATTGTTTTAACTTTTAAAAAATATATGATCTCTCTCTGTCCTCTAAGTCTAAACATAGATGTGTCTAATCATTTCCTATTCAGGTATTAAAGCCGATTGTCTGTGTCTACTTAGGTCTTCAGCTAAATGAAGTGTTTGGGTTCAAGGGAGGACACTGAGGTAGACTGGTATTTGAGGAAGAAATTTATTAGAAGATATATGAACACCATAGGCAGATGGCAGCATGGTCAAGTGGGGACCTTCCCCATGGTATTCACAGGAAGTGGCATGGATGGAGATGGAAAAGTTTCCTTCATTGATTAAGATCGGTCATTGCTGCAGGTGACCTGTGAGTGGCCAGTTGAAGAACGTCATGTAGCCATTATTGAGGTAGGAAGTCAAGAACCTAGCTAGAGCAATGGTTCTCAACCTTCCTAATACTGTGACCCTTTAATATAATTCCTCATATTGTGGTGACCCCCAATCATAAAATTATTTCATTGCTATTTCTTAACTGTAATTTTGCTACTGCTATAAATGTAAATATCTGAAATGCAGGATATCTGATATGTGACCTCCAAAGGGGTCTTGACTCACAGATTGAGAATAACTGATCTAGAGGCCTGGGTTACTTGACTTCCAGGAACCAAATTTCTGTAGTTTTCTACAATTGTTGTTTATCCAAAATGGAGGCACTTTTCACATGGTGAGTTTTCACATGGCGTGCCCACCGCTCACACTATATATATCTCTTTGTTTTTGCATTTGCTTAGAGAAGTGAAAGGCGCAGGAGGAGGGTAGGGTGTATTTGCCTTGTCTCTTGCTGAACTCAAAGGACTCTGGTCTTTCTCATCTAAGCTGTTAAAGAGACATCCGATCTTCCTCCTTCCTGTTTGCTGCAAACTGCCAAGAAGAAATGTCAGATGCATGGTGAACATGATTCATCATCCAACAGGAAGACATCTCAACAGCAGTCCTTTAATTTTCTTCTCACCCCCTGTCTGCCTTGATTCTCCATTACCTGACCTCTAGAGCCCATTAGAGGAACCCAATCATGCTCTATTCTCTGGTGCAAAACTTGAGCTACCAAACTGCACAAAAGACTCAGAGCTGAAGTGATTCAAAAGAACAATGACAAACAGCACTCTGTTCCAGTTGCCAAGCACCCAGCTCTCCTCACAGGAAAACACTTCATTCCCATTAATGTTTTCTCCAGACTTCTTCCTTCTTCATATTTAGTAACTTCCTAGGCATTACACACCAGTACATACATAACATATATTTCAATATAGACCACAGGACAAGAGACACATGGCTTTGCAACTTGATTTACTTTTTTAACATAACTGAGCCTGCGCAACATCATTGTGTGCCTAAGACTGTCTATCATGCACTCAGTTACAGGTGCCCCATAGACCCCTGAATCCACAGAAAGGTGAAGCACCTCACTATCCCAAATAAGCCCATTTTTTATCCATTCCTGTCAAAGCCCGGGATAGGTGCCTGAAGCCACTTAGGCTGTTATAAACCCAGCTTATGAAGGGTCAGAGGATCCATCCAGCTAAGCCTGTCAGGACACAGAACTGTGAGTTGCTGTAAGAACAATCTGTAAGCTGGGACAGAAATTTGTGAATCAATTGCCCCAGACCTTGTTGCTGGTTAGGGGTTCCAACAAATAGGGAAAAGGAAGAACTTTTTTTTTTGAAGCTCAGGTGAAAGGCAAAGGAATCACTGGATGGTTAAGGGGGAGCAGCCATAATTGTTTTGGTGCACTGAAAGTCAATGGGTCTCCCAATGGTCAAGACTGTTTATACTGGGTTGAAACTGGTTTGCTTAGGTAGGATCATGAGTACCAGGGCCACCTTAATCTAATGCCCTCAATTAATTATTTTAGTGTAATACATCGTGCGCCAGTAAAGAAGTAGAATGATAACACAGTGGTCATCTTTGGACAGAGAGAAGTAAAACATCAACCCCGCCTTTCCCTTCCACATGGGTTTCATGGGTTTCTGCTTCCCTCCCCCAGTCCCCCAGATGGAGGAAGCTGGCTAGAGGCTACACGGGACTCTTACTGTTTTTGTAACTTCCTGTGAGTATTTATTTCAAAACAGAACATTCATCTTGAGGATAAAAAGATGGAATGGCCCCGGAGCATGTTAGCACTCACAGATGTTATTTCCTACCCCTCTCCTGCCCTCTGTGGGCAGATTCAATGTGAGTCAAGCTTGTCAGGCAAATGAGGACTGTGAAACGGGCCTGTCTCTTCACTGCACCATGATGGTTAAAGAGGAGGAGGCCTAATGATGGGGAGTGCTCCACTTGGACCTCTGGAGTCACAAATGGCTATGAGCTGCCATGGGGTACTGAGGATTAGATCTCTGTCTTCTGGAAGTGCAGCAAGTGCTCTCAATTGCTGGGCCATCTCTCTGGTTCTGAGAAGTGCATTTTAATAGCGTTATCAGTAACTACAAATAAAGTAAGAGAAATAGAGCTTGCCTTCCTTCCGTCCTTCCTTCCTTCCTTCCTTCCTTCCTTCCTTCCTTCCTTCCTTCCTTCTTTCTTTCTTTCTTTCTTTCTTTCTTCCTTTCTTTTTTTGTTTGTTTTTTGAGACAGGGTTTCTCTGTATAGCCCTGGCTGTTCTGGAACTCACTCTGTAGACCAGGCTGGCCTAGACTTAAAGAAATCCACTTGCCTCTGCCTCCCTAGTGCTGGGATTAAAGGTGTGTGCCATCACCAACTGTCGAAATAAAGTATTTTAAAAAACCAAATCAGAAATGAAAGGAGATGAGAAGGTGCATGTTGTAGGCTCTGCCCTGTGAGTGGGTGCAGCCAAGTAGTGCTTTACTGATGGTCACATGTCTTAATGACCTGTAAAAACATGGAGAGACTCAAAATGCAACGAGCACCCAGCCGTTGCCAGCCGGCATGGATGGTCTGAAGATGAAGCAGCATCCCTGATGTAATTTGACTCTCATTCAAAGAATAAGCCAGCATCAGGACCAGTTTGGTGAGTGAGAACTCAAGGTCTAGGCAGATGGGTTCTGCTGAGCGGCTTCTCACCCCAGGTAAATGCAGGTCTCCTGATCTGAAGACATAACCCTGAGGGGCACAGGGAGAGCTGGCCCTGGAGAAGCATCGCCATGCCTCCTAAGGATCCCTGTGGACTGGAAGACAAATGGAAAGATTGTCAAGAAAGAAATAGACAGGGCCTGAGGTGAGAGCTCAGTGGGCCTTGCAATCATGAAGGACCTGAGTTCAATCCTCAGAATCCATGAAAAAAAATGCTGAGTATGCTGGAGACAGGTAGATCCTTATGGCTCCTAGGCCAATCAACCTAGCCTAATTGGTCAACCTAATCAACCAGTGAAAGACTCTGTCTCAAAAGTAAATAAATACAAATAGTGTCTCAGGAGTGGCATCCAAGGTTTCCTTCTGGACTCTGTGTACACACACACATGTATAAAGAAACAGATTAAAAATTTTTAGAAGGAAAGTGACATTTCTATTTGGCAAGTTTGCAGGGTCCCCAAAGCAAGATTCTAGTATATTTATATTTATTTAAGAAATAATGACAATTTAGTGTTGATATAAACCCACCAAGAGGGAAATGTGCACCATAAACCTGAATCCCTTTCTGATAAGCTTGCCAGAACACTCAATTCAGATTTATGTAGCGTGTCTGGCTGTTGCTAAGGTGACTAATGATTTCCTCTCTGCTCTCATAGATTAGAGGAATAAACAGGGACTGTTATGATGTGAGAGCCAATACTGCTGGATCAAGAGTGATGAAGTTGGACATAAATCCCTGATGATTTACCATGGATCCCATCCTTCTGCCTGCTTGCCGGATGCATCATCGTATTAATGATTTAGCAAATTACCTGAATGGGAAGCCAGCCAAGTTTCAATGAGAAGAGAGACTAGAAGATTGAAGAGAGGCCGAGACAGATGAGTTATCTTAAAGTTCTTGGCTGACTTACATGACAAGACAAAATTGCAGAGAAATAAGGGAGCAGCCTTATGCTCAGTGTAACAAATCCAGCGGGGGAGACACACATCAAGGAGGGGCTGGAATGTAGACTCATCACCTGCCGGCTCTGTGTCCTTGGACTGAACTCTTCTGGACCCTGTTTCCACAGCTGTAAATGAGTGATCAGGAAGGAAAGTCATTTGGATGTGCTGGGAAGATGAAATGAGTTAATATTTAGAGAGTAGATACACTAACCTACTTTCTAACAAGCATGGTACATGCCAGTTATTATTTCCTTATTGTTCTTATAACAAACCAGTTTCAGAGTTTCACGTGTGCAACCTTTCAGTTGGAGAGTACCAGTATTGTGACTGAACCACTAAGAAAGCACATGATGAAGCCATGTTCATACTGTGAATGCTTTAGTGCACATACTCATATATAAGTCCATTTTATCAGGGCGGTGGGTGTGGCGGGAGGGTGGAGTGAGTCTGGGAAGGAAGGAGAGTCCCCAGGAAGATGCTCCATAAGCCTCCCCAGTGATTATCAGCCCAGGTGACTCAATCAATGTCATCCAATTAGCCAATAGGCCACAGCCCACCCCAAATCAAGAGTCTTAGGACTTGGACTCAAATGGCCTCCATAGGCTCATGTGTTTGGATGCTTGGTTCCTAGCTGGTGGTGCTGTTGGCGGAGAAGGCAGAATTTTGGGGAGGTAAGATTTAGCTAGAAGGAGCAGGACTTGAAGTTTGGGTGGGACACTGATAGCCCAGTCCTACCTCTTGTCCTCTCTGTCTGCTTCCTGGTCCAGTGAGATGTGGGCAAGCAGCTTTGCTCTCCTCCTGCCACAGCCACGAACCTCTCATGCCTCGATGACTTCCCCTTCAGGATGTGCTGTCCCCTCAACAGCGCCAAAGTGAGTCTTCCCTACCGGACGCTGCTCCTTACCAGGTACCTGCTAATTAGAAACTCATAAAGGAAGTTTAATTGTGAGCCATGGTCTTACATTGGTCAGAGGTTTGCTACGTGAGTCTCTCAGGATGGGAGAGGAGCAGGAGTGAAAGCCCTCCAACTCTCAGTCCCACGGCATGTTGTAGATATATTGGTGGAGCATGAGGAGCAAGCAGCAGGGTGCACCTGAGTGAAACCTGGCCAGAGCTCACTAAATGCTGGACATAGTCACTGAGGGCTTTGGTGACAGGTGAAGCCGAGATAATCTAAAGAGACTTGGAGGTGATTTCTGTTTTCACTAAGGCATGGTAGTCAACCTTCCCAACGCTGCGACTCTTTAGTACAGTTCCTCATGTTGTGGTGACCCCCAACCATAAAATTATTTTTGTTGCTACTTCACAACAGTAATTTTGCTACTGTTATGAATTGTAATGTAAATCTCTGTGTTTTCCGATGATCTTAGGTGACCCCTATGAAAAGGTCATTCAGCTCCAAAGGGGTCATGACCCACAGGTTGAGAACCGCTGCACTAAGGCCTGGCTGGTCCATACTCCAGAAAATGGAGTCAGTGTGTGGAAACTCAACAGAAGAGAAATAAAGACAAAGCTGTAAATTGCCAAGGATAATTAGTTATCGGGGTCAGCATCAGTTATTTTCATCATGGGAGGATCCTGGAAGAAGAGATGGCTAAGCAGACCTGGAAATAGTTTCATGCACCTTAAAATCTGCTTGGCATTTTGACTAGAGCTGCTAGGTGGAGGTTAGATCAGCAGCTGTCAACTGAATGTAAAGAAAAGAATTGGAGTAGCACAGCTGGGTGTGGATGGGCAATTGGGGGCTGTAATGAATCTCTGTTATGTAGCGTTTAAGGGTGGGTGGGCTGGGTAAGCCATATTGGCTTTCTGTCTCCTCTGGCCCATGTTTCCTCCAGGGTTCTCACACAGACACAAAAGACAGAACCAGCCGCAGAGAGAGGGGTTCTGGCAGCAGCAGAGCAGGGGGAGTCGAGACTGGGGGTGGAGGCTAGCAAAATTAGCACTGCTAATGAGAGACCTTGGTTCAGGAGCATGCAATGCTTCTTAATGCTTGAAATAATTAGCAATTAGCCATAGTCTTATGGTTTCAAAAATAACAGGTTTGATGTCCTTGGGTCATGTCCAAAAATGCTCCATTGATCTGCTAACTTTGGAATCAGAATGCCAATGTAATGTTCTCTGATAACAAAAATGTGACTTTGAAATGAAATATATTAATTAGTGTGTATTTGCATGGAAGTTATTTAAATCCATATTATCATATACTGTTTCTTATTACTGAAATGTCTACAGTATAGGAGCATCCAGCAAGCACTGGGTTATCTCTGAGGTGCTTTTCTGTCTCCTCTCTGTGGGAAATCAACTGACCAGCTTTCTCAGAGTCCTCACCATGATCTTTCCAAGTACTCACCCCTGTTCCTAGGGATCTTCAAGTCAATCTGCTTCATGGGCACAAGATGACTGCTAGTCCTCACAGGAATGGGAACTGCCTTCTGTTTCAAACAGGAAAATGACTTTTTCATACAACCCTACCAAATCCCCAAGCAAACTAAGTCAAGTAGGCCCTTCACCATTATCCAAGCTGTGGTGACAGGATTTGAATCCTCTAGGACACACTAGGTCTTGATCTGTCACTGTGGCAAGGTAATAGTCACTTTGGGGTGGGGGTGTAGACCTTAAATTCATTCACCTGAAAGTGGAGTTTGAGTAGGGTCACACCGGGCAATACAGACATCCAGTCTGTGCCTGAAGGTCTGTCACACCTCTGGGGACTTCCCACTCAGGAGCAAGAAGGTGCAGACAGCTCTCAATGTCCTCAGTACTTGGTGAGGCAGAAGGGTAAGGGAGTTGGAAGAAGGTTCATCTTGTCTCTTCTTTTCCTATTAAGATGTGTGTGTGTGTGTGTGTGTGTGTGTGTGTGTGTGTGTGTGTGTGTGTGTGTATGTACTCCTGTGCCCTCTTGTTCGTCATGCCATGCATGTGGGAGTCAGAGGACAACTTTTGGGAGTCAGTTCTCTCCTTCCCTGATGTGGGACCTGGGGATCGAACTCAGATCATCTGCCTTGGCAGCAAGCACCATCAGCCACTGAGGCGTCTTGCTGGCTCATCTTGTGTCCACCGTATTGTAAACAACATCAAAATCAACAAGCATGAAGAAAGCAAGGGTCCAGAAAGTGGGTGCATGGATACCAAGCTCTCCTGACCCTAGTCTGTCTCCTGTTCTCTTGGCCAGGGACAGGTAAGAGGGAAATGGGCATGACAGCCTCTGCTCCACCCAAGAGGCTGCTGGAGCATGGAAGAATGTGGGAGAGGTGAACCCAGGTTGCCATTTCCATCGCAGTCCCAAGAGAGCATCATAGTAAACAAAATTTCTTCATAGTGGGATTATATTGCAACAACTGGATGTTTCCCATTGTGCAACGAGGATGATGTGGCTGTCTCAGAGAGACCCCGTGATCAGAACAAAAGCAAACAACCACCACTCCAAAAATCCTCTCCAGGATCTTTGCTGGAACCCCCTGGTGGGTAAGGTGGTGATGATCAGTAGAAATAATGCTTTCTGACTCCCAGGCAGACACTGGGTCAGACTCCAGCCTCCTAGGGATGGCAAGGGGATAAACATAGAGGAAATAAAGACCAGGCCGTCTTGAATTTTTAAAAAGTAGTTGATGCCTGCTTTGTTGGTACAGCAAGGGTGGATGGAACCCAGACTTCGCCGCCGGAATGAGGCCAGAGGTGAGGGGGTGCCACATTGTCACTCACTAGATGATGTTTAATCTGTATTTCTGTACAGAATAGTTCTGCCTCTGTATTTATTTGTGTTCCATGGCCGAAGGGCAAGTGCTGGCCTTCTGACCCAGGCAGCACGTTGGGAGATCCCAGTACAAAGCTTTTATGCTTTTTCTCCAGGTTATTTTTAGCTACTGTAACTTCTATTCAGCGGGTGTGAAATTAGAAGTTAATTCTTTCTGCTTTGTGCGTTGGATTCTCGAGGCTGTGAGAAGGGGTCAGATTTGTGTTAGGTCTCTGCGTCTCCCCAGGGAGGCCAAGATGGCTAGCCCCCACTGAAGATGTCCCTTCTGGCTCTGTGGTGTAGACCAGCGGCTGGCAAGTGCTGTCTAGTTAAGGAGCATGATGCCCAGCCCACCCAGCCCTGTGGGTTTTGCTGGTGGGAGGTAAGCTGATGTAAGGCTGATGTTCTGATGCAGGTAGGTAACACTTTCCCTGTCTTCCAACCTGGCCCCAGTTTTAAGGCCCTAAAGCAAGGTGGCGCTGCAGGGCCACAGGAGGCGGGCTCCTGAATGGTTACCTGCCCAGCACCAGCCCAGGATTGTGAAAAGCATCTATTCCATTGACCCCCAAGACCTTTATAGTTTGTTCCAGCGCAGACCAGTACCTTCTTGACGACAGCATCCAAGCTCGTCTGTGGAGCAAAATAGTACATGCTTAGTCTAAACTTCTGAGTCAACGAGGAAAGTTGCTTTCTGGTTTTCATGTGTTTGGCTTAATTTTCTGCTGGGGCCTGAACGCCACACCCCACTATCACTCTGCCACAGAGCTATATCCATATCCTCAGACCCCTTTTATGTGTTTCTTCTTATTTTGAGCTAAGGTCTCACTAAGTTGCTTAGTCTGGTCTTGAACTCACTATACAACTGAACCCAGTGATCCCCTGCCTCAGCCTAGTAGCTGAGATTCTAGGCCTGTATGCTGGAGCACTAAAGCATTCGTCCCAACTACAGAGGAGGGGCTGAGGACTCTTCAGCTGGCCCTACTGGGGTGCACAGTGACAACTGGTAACAGACAGGGCATTGGGGTCTGCAGTCCCTTCAAATGATGGCTGTTTACTCACCACGGCATGCTTCCACAGTTCTCCCACAGAAGTCAGGGCCTCGCCCATGTTGCCTCCTGTGCTAGAGAACATGGCCACAAAGAGATTCCCTTATCACCTTCGAGGGCTTGGAGTTTCCAGGAAGCCTGTGATCTCCGGTGACCTGCCACCTCCTCCAGGAAGACCCTTCTAATTTCTCCCTCCCTCTTGGTCTCTTGTGTCCCTATAGCTCAGCTCTGTCTGTCCTCCAGCTTGGGATCTGGAGCAACTGTAGTATTTTCTGTTTGCCGCTTGCCCCACCTGACAGGACCCCTTGAAATCCTGCACTGAATCTGAGTTAACCTCACAGCTGAGGCGAGGCACCGTGCCAAACCGACAGGCGATCCATGCTGCTTCCAAGTGAACTCAGGATAAATAATGAACAGTTTGGAGGCCATAACTAAAACCTTTTAAATTAGTTTAATACACAGTGGCATTTGTTTCTGTACTTTAAGCTAAATTTAAACATTTTGGAAGATTAAAGCTGTATTTTTTATCCTGTTTTGTTACTGTGTTGGTGTCAGGAAACATTGTTTTTCCTCATATTGGCATACTTTCTCCCCTTGAGACTACAAACTCAGGAATATCAGGGGGAAAAAAAACCCACAATAATCCAAGTGTGTTAGTTTTCCAGTTCTCAATGTGTTAACATTTTGTTTTACAATAAAAAAAGGATTTAAAGCAGCTTTCAATTCACAGAAAAGTCGTGATAGCATCACCTGTTTTACTTGATGGGCAGTTCGCTTTAGTCCAGTGAGTCCCAACCTTCCTAAGGCTCCGATCCTTTGATACAGTTCCTCATGTTGTGGTGACTCCCCTCCCCCTCAACCATAAAATTACTTTGTTGCTATTTCATAACTATAATTTTGCTACTGTTATGAATTATAATGTAAATATCTGATATACAGGAGTTCTGATATGCCACCCCTAGTTGAGACCCACTGCTTTAGAATTTATGAACCAGTATTGATGCTTTTTTTTTTTATCAACTAGAAGCCAGAGTGTATTTGTATTTGCTTAATTTTTAAATAATGTCCTTTCCACACACCATCCCCAAATTTGCGACAAGGTCTTGCAATACAGCAAAGGTGCACCTCAACCCTCAGATCCTCCTCAACCCTCAAATCTTCCTGTCTCACTTTCCTAGTTCCGGGATAACAGATGTGCACCACCACCTACCTACTGTCAGTGTGTTAACATTTTGTTTTACATTAAAAAAAAAGAATTTAGTTTTAAAAACAGCTTCTAACTATTATAGACGTGCCCAGCTACCTACTATCTTTTTATATTCCAGTACCCCGTGATACCCACAGCCACTGTGTCTTCCTTGGGCTGTGACAGTTTTTCAGATTTCCCTTTTATTCTGGGGACCTGGACACTTATGAGGTCAAGCATTCTGCAGGATGATCTGTTGCGATCTGTCTGATAGTTGCTCCTGAGTAGTTGTTTATAAAAGGAAGCTCATGAGGTGCCATTTCATCCTAGCTCATCAAACACCTGCTGTCACTGGGAGTCATCGACATTGACATTAATGCCGGTCCCCTGGCTGAGGTCATGTTTGTTTGGTCTCTCCAGCACACGGGAATTGGTCCCTGTTTCTTATTGATGACTTATACTTCAAGGAGGTTTGAAAAATAGTTACTGAGGCTGTAAGGAGTGGAGACAGGTAACATCTACAGTCTTAAGATTATGTCGGTTTTTGACAGACCTCTACCTGTGGGCTACCGGCTCCTCAGCTTGTTTGTTCTCCGCCCTTTTGCATGAGATACAAGCCTGACAAGGGCTGGGGTTGGGCAGTTGCTCTTTTCCTTAAGCTAAGCTAGGGTCTACTGGAGTCTTCGTCACTGAAGTGCTGCATTTTGTTGTGGAAATCACACTGACCATAGTTCAGAATGATTACTTCCCATCTTTCCTCAACATGTATCTAGTGTGATTGTCTTGATTTTCATTATGAAATGAGTGAGTTTCCTAAAAGGATGTTCTCCGGTATGGTGGGGTATCTCTGAAATTGAAAGCCACCCCTTCCCCCCAGCACACACTTTTTGTAGCAGTGTACATACGGCCTGGAGAAATTCATCCCAAAATCTGAACTGATGGCCCAAGTGGCCTCTGCTCCCTAAGCCACCCAGTGCTGTGTCTTCTGTCTACAGTCTCTTCAGAATTCAAGGTGGTGGGTGGCCTGGGACCTCCGCTCCCTGATGGCCCAAGAAATGTGATTGATTTCCAGAGGGCTCAAGATATTTTGTTGTTATTGTAAAGATGGGGTGATGAGACATCTAAGCTTTCAACTGCTGTGGGATGTCTTTCTGTATGCTGTGAATATGTACTGCTCCCATTGGTTAATAAACAAAGCTACATTAGCCTATAGCAGGGCAGGATGGAGCCAGGTGGGAAAATCCAAGAGAGATAGAGAGAGGAGAAGGGAGGAGTTGGGACAGATGCTGCTAGCCACTGCCAGGAGTAGCAAGATGTGAGAGAACAGGGAACATCACGAAGCCACATGACAAAATGTAGATTAATAGAAATGGGTTAAGTTAAGTTATTAGAGCTAGTTAATAATAAGCCTGAGCCATAGGCCATATAGTTTGTAATTAATATAAGTCTCTGTGTGTTTACTTGGGACCAAGTGGCTGCGGGATCAGGCAGGACACAGGAAAACTTCCAGCTACACTCAACTTCCACTTTTCAGTGTTTAAAACCTTTTTCAAATGAAAGGCTTTGAACCAGAGGTTCTGTTATTGGTGATTGTGAATCGGGTAGATTGTTTTCATGTAGGAGAAAGGAAGTTTGCCTTCTAGACAGCAAAGGATGACTTTTGCTCTCTGGCAGGCTAGCTGAAGATGTACCCTTAGTGTAGCTCACGTGTTTGCCTCCTGAGGCTCAGGGATGGTGAATTGGGACAGTGGGACATTGATCACAATTAGGTCATAAGTGTAAATCCCCTGGCAATTTGGAGACAGAATACATTAAAAAAAAAAAAAAACTTTTACATTTGTGTAAAATATACAGAAAACAAAGTGACTCCATGCCTGAGCCTTCCCCAGTCTTGAGACATTAGACTAATGGAAAATAACAGCTTTCCCGGACCCTAAGGAAGTGGCCTCAAGTGTACTGGCTGGAAATTTACAAGTGAGCACATGTAATTGTGGGCAGGAGGCAGAGCCAGGGTAATTTGTTGCAAAGCGTGTCTGCAGGCCTATCAGGGAGACACGAAGCATGCCAACCTGATGCCATTAGAGGCGGCTATTCAAGTGGGTTGTGGGGCAACCATGAAATCTCAGACTGGGAAACACCCTGGGGGGTGGGGGGACATGGCCCTGGTTCCCATTAGATTTTATCAGAAGTAGCCAGAGAGTCACTCAGCAGTTTGAGATTTACATGCCCACAATGTTCTTTCTGAACAGAACTGAAGAAATGAACCCCAGATGGCGTTTCTTATTCAGGGCCCACAAATACCTCCCACAAACTCCAGACAAAGATATAGAATAAGAATAAACATCTAGAACTCAGAAAAGCTGTCTGGGGAAAAAAAACCCAACAACCTGGACCCACCAATCACAGCAGATAGGAATTGCTGGCATCTACCAGGCAGGCAGATTTATTTATTAAGTAGCCATCTCCAATCCTAAACAGAACTGGGATCCTTTCAGGAACGAGTTTAAAAATAGGTTATGTCATGCACACACGCACACACACACACACACACACACACACACACGCATGCGCGCACACACACATGTGCGCACACATGTTAGTGTGTGGAATGATGATCACAAAACCGTGAAGCAGAGTTAGTTGTTCTCTGTAGTACATGCTTCAGAATGACTCAGACATTTCAGAAAGCTGATTTTTTTGCAAAAGTCGGTCCTGCCAAAGGCTTAGGTAATCAGAAAATCTGATTAAGAAGAAAATTCCATTATCATTTAGTATTTGAGTTAATGACCTCCTTTTATCTCCCGTTCTCTGGCCTAGAGCACAGGCTATTATATGAAAGGGTATGTCGGGTGTAACAGTCAGGCTATGAACACACAGTGGATTAATTTCCGTTCATCTCCAGCACTGTAATATCTATGAACAAGACCAACACTCCTATGGTGTCATTGTGTAGTTAGCAGCTGCCCAGGGGTGTTGGTTTGTATATTCTGGGGCGAATTTTTCTGAACCACAAATGATGTTTTTTTTGTAGGTTGATGATAGATAACTCAAAATGTCAGGTTTTCCTAGAAATCTAGCATAGATTCCAACTGCATTCTCTCTCTCTCTCTCTCTCTCTCTCTCTCTCTCTCTCTCTCTCTCTCTCTCTCTCTCTCAATCTGTGGTGTGTGTGTGTGTGTGTGTGTTGTCTTGGAAAAGTTTGGAGTTTGGAGACCTCATCTGAGGTCATCCTTTCCAGTTGAGCACATACTGAAATGAGACAGCATGTCATGCGGATCCAGTAGAATGGGTTGTAAAAAAAGAAAATGCCCTTGTAAAGTTAGATGCACAGAAGCAGCATGACTCAACATTTCTTGACATGTGCCTCCCTTAAATCTAGGTTGCAGATTTAACACTGACTGGCCTTGCCTCAAATGAAATTGTGTGCACAGGTGCTTTTGCTTACGTATACCAGAGGTCAACTTCCCGTGTCTCCCTTAGTCACTTCACTTTATTTTTGGGATAGGGTCGATTACTGAGCCTGGAGCTTGCCATTTTGTCTAGACTGCTTTCAAGTGAACCTCCACAACCCTCCTGTCTCCACCCTGCAGCACTGGGGTGACAGGTATACGCTACCATTCCTGGCTTTTTGTCAGGTGCTGTGGATCTGAACCAGGGTCCTTGTAGTCATGTGACAAGCACTTCTTCACCTTCTGAGCAATCGCTCCAGTCCTCAGATGAAGTGTGTGATCATCCAGAGTCTATAGTTAGCAAAAGAAAAAAAAAAAAAGCTTTGATCACTTCCGGTTCATGATAAGGACGGTCACTCAGTGGAAGTAATTCTGAGCCAATTTCAGAAGGCCTAAAATGCCACTAGCTATTAATTTTGGAAAAGTCAGGAGATTGAAAACAGCAACAGTAGAGATAAGGGTTCGAGGCCCAACAAGACCTACACTATAAGACAAGTCAGCACACCCTACAGTAATACCCTCCCCTGCATTCTCTCAGAACACAGATCGTGGACAAGGGTCTTCTTAGTCCGAAGCCACTTGTGATACTTAACTTTTGTGTTTTGAAGTGACTGTTGCTTTAATAATTGTGGTGGTGTCTGGCATGTTTTCACAGATGAAATTCTTTCAGTCAACACTCCTTATTTCACACACACACACACACAGGCAACCCAACTGCCTGCCCTGCTCCCTAACTTCTCTTTTTAAATTCACCTTTTTTTTTTTTTAAAAATGGCCTGTGTGTGTGTGTGTGTGTGTGTGTGTGTGTGTGTGTGTGTGTGTGTGGACACCATGGTGTGCAGGTAGAGATGGTTTGTAGAGAACAGTTCTCTTAGGATCAAACTCAGGTCATCAGGCTTGGTGACAAGTACCCTTACCTGCTGAGCCATCTTGCTGGCCATTTTTTTCAAATAAGTACTCATTAGTTTCAACATTCAATATTATCTACTAAATAGTAAGTGTTTACTGATAAAGTATATGAGAATATGAGTACAGATTGTCCTAGGAGTGAAGCTACTCCAGGGCACAGTATGGAAAGGGGGCTCTGTGTGTGTGTGTGTATGTGTGTGTGTGTGTGTGTGTGTGTGTGTGTGTGTGTGTGTGTGTGTGTGTGTGTGTCTGTGTGTCTGTGTCTGAGGTAGAAGGACAACTGAAGAATTCACTAACCCTCTAAGAGACCACTTATGCTGTGTAAGCTCAGACTCTTAATTAGGAGTGCATTCTACACCTCTCCCGTGTAAGGTCTAGAAGTTATACCTTCCCAGAGCAGAGGCTGTGTTTTCTGTAACTAATTACCTTTCCGGACACCTTGTGCAAATAGGTAATCATCTCTTAGTGGTGGAGACCACGGGATGTGTCAGTCCTGTTTACCAAGCAGGAGTATCTATTCCCCCTCTTCCTCTGTGAGTCTAAGTAAGTGTCATGCCCCAACATGACAATTCCTCGTCCTTTATTTCAGGTTTCAGAGACGGTCAAGGTCACTAGGTGAGAGCTTGAATATTCAAACTGCAACATATCAAGACAGATGCAAGGAAACACACTAAAATGAAACAAGTTGACTTTTAAAACACAGCAAAAAACAAAAGCAGAAACCCTAGGCAATGAGTTTTCACAAATCAGATTTTTTTTTTTTGCCAGATAATGAAAAACTTTATTACTTTCCATTCTGACTATGGGAAGAACACATTCATTGGAAAAAAAAATTTGACCCACAGAATGTTTTAAAGAAAACTATATCCTAGGGGGCTCAGCAGTTGAGCGTGTGTACTGCTCTCAAGGAAGATTGAAGTTTGGTTTCAGGCTTCCGGTCAGGTGCTCACAAAGCACCGGAAACTTCTGAAAATCTGATACCTCTGGGCTCTAAGGACACCTGCTGTGTGTGTGTGTGTGTGTGTGTGTGTGTGTGTGTGTGTGTGTGTGTCTGTGACTCTCTGTCTCTCACACACACATAATTAAAAATTAAAATAAATCTTTAAAACCTTACCACTGAGAAATAACCACCAATGACTTTTTGCTAAGCAGACTTTTTTTTTCTCCCCAAGGAATACTGACATATAACTTCTTTTTCCTACAATTATGGAGCCAGGCTAAAACATAGTTTTGAAACGGCCCTTTTTGTTCTCTGTGTCCCTGGCTTTCCATATTAATATTGATGATGTAAATATTCTTCTGAAAACTCCACACCGCAGACGTGCTGGGTCCGCTGTGTATTTGTGCTGTTTCTACACCTTTTCTGTTCCTAGTAGAACAATATTGAGGCCTCATGTGCGTGGTCAGCTTCCCAGAATCCGTTGTGAGTCTTTAGCATGAGGCTGTCCACTGAACTCCATCAGTCATAAGTTTCCACCACGGGGGCTCTGGTCCCTGACACCACCCCTTCCAGCTACGGGATTTCTGAAGTCCCTGGCTGTCCTTCTCCAAATAGCATGTGGCTGCATGCACAAGAAGCAGTTCTCTCCGAGAAACTGTAATTAGTTTTTCAGACAGTATGTGTCTTACTTCCCACCCATGTGCGTCATAGCTTGGGCCCCTGAAGGATTTGCAAACCCTATCAATCTTTTTCTTTTTTTAGTGTTCACTGGTGTTTTCCCAGCACATATGTCTGTAAGATGGTGTCAGGTACCCTGGAACTGAAGTTACAGACAGTCGTGAGCTCATGCTTAGAATTGAACCTGGATCCTCTGGAAGAACAACTAGTGTTCTTAACCGCTGAGCCATCTCTCTAGCCCTAACCCTATTAATCTTCATCTATGTAGCTCTTGTTTTTCCTATAGAAGCATATATATCCCATAAACCTCAAATCAATATTTGCTTAAAACCCAGGTCATGGTGCATTTTTTTGCCTGTTAATAATAACACTTTGCATGTGGTGTAGAAATGGGGTACTTCAAATTAAATAATGAAGATTTATTTCTGAGGGGACGTGTCGTGTGGGTTTGGCTGTGGGTTGCTCTTCAATGATCTTTTTTTAGAAGTAAATCCACGTGCTGGTTTTATTCTGAATTGCATTACTCTGGTTTTGCTGCTGAAGCAGGGGAAAAACGATTTCTCTAAATATCATTAAAAATACAGAATTGCATTTTGCATCGTAGGCATGTTAGAAATCTGGAGTTCAAGGAGCTGAGACTGTGGAGTTGTGGGTTCTTAACTTTGGATGTTTAAATGAGCTTAAGGAGTCCGCAAACCCTGTGCACTGTTTGTGTATGTGTGTGTGTCTATGTGTGTCCATGTATGTGTATATGTGTGTCTTTGTCTCCATATGCATGTATGTGGGTGTCTGTACGTGAGCGTGTGTGTATCTGTATGTGTGTGTGTCCATGTTTGTGTCCCTATTTTTCTTGAAGACCAAATGTGCAAACTTTCCATTGGATTTTCAAATGAATCTATGGTAGAAATAATGGTTCAAAATCATACAGTAATTATTGTGAAAGGAACAGGCTGGATCTAGAAACCTGGCCCAAGGTCAGTCTGTACCTACTTCAGTGACTTAGCAACCAAATTAAACATAAAATCTTGTTCCTAATTCGAGTCACCAGGATTTTATAACCGCTCTCCATGTTCCAGAAGGTCACCAAGGCTGGAATGAGCAAGTCTGCACCAGAAGCCCAGGTCTGCCATGAACTCAGTTACATCCTTGCATTTCTTGCTGCCTCTTTAGCTATAAAATGAAAATGAAAAATACTGTTTACAAGAGCAGTGGGTAAGGACATTTGCCACCGAGACTGACAACTTGTGTTTTATTCCCAGGAAACCACTCAGTATAGGGAAAGTTGAACTCATTTGCACCATGGTACTAGGTATGTGTGTACCAACACACACACACACACACACACACACACACACACACACACACACACAACATAAGTAAGTGTAAAATATTTTAAAATACCCTTTACTTGGGTTTTGAAGAACTGTGGAAAGATCATGCTAAACAGTGACAAGGTCACTCAATGCAGGAGCACTGTTTTCCATGATTATTCTCTGAGCCGAGCCATCACGGTCTTCAGGAGTTCAGCTGTGTCTACTTGTGAAAGGTCATTCCAGTTGGGCTTGGTGACTGTTTACATCCCTTATAGTGTGTGTGTCAGGGGGTTACAGGAACCCTTGTATGAGTTCTATCCATCCCTACCATGTACTGTATGCGACTCTGCCCTAATGGCCCTCAGCCTCATGGCCTGGAACAGAGACTGGCATATCAAGGCCAGGGAAGACTAGGGGACAGCAGATCCATCAATGGAGCTGTGGGGAAGCCACCATCCATGCTGAGTAAAGACTTGCCTATAAGGACTCTTGGAAAGGAGCACCCACATTCCAATAAGGAACCCCTCACCCATGAGCTATCAGGAAGTCCAGTGAACTCGTGGGTTCCCCCAGAATGAACATTTGTAGAATTGAGTCTTAGTTTATTGTTATGACCTTAGGAGGAAGGGGAGATTTGTCTTATGTCTGCCCCCACCCCTTCATGCCCCCCACCTCTTGAGAAGGAATTTTACCAATAGCCACATAATGTATCATTCCATTTGTCTGACACATCTGTAGGAACAAAGAGCAGAGTAGGGGATGCTCAGACAGTACTTGTCTTGTGCTTTGGGACTATTAATCAGTAAAATAAGGGACACTGTAATACTGCAATGGTTGACCAGATAACTGGGGCTGCTACTAAGTGAAGAGCAGGTGGGTGGTGTTTACAGTATGGATACTCAGGAAGGGGAATGATTCATGTCCCATAAAGAACACAGCAGGATGGCACAAGATTCCATTATGCTATCCAGATGGCATGCAATTTTAAACTTATGGTTTATTTCTAGGACTTTCTATTTAACGTTTGTGGACCATCATCAACTGCGTGACTAAAACAGGAAATCAAAACTGTTTTTCTCAGTTGTGCTCATCCTTGGAAAACCAGGGTGGGGAGGACTCTTGGTTTAACCCAAATGAAGTATGTTGTGTTCTTATGCTGGTGTGCAAGATGGATTGGAATGGCATGTCTCTGCTTGTTAGCACTGTGTTTAGAAGATGTATGTATAGAGTATCTGTGCCTGGCTGAAATTTTTCTTGATTTCTATCATGGGGTCTGGTCAATGGGCAGGTTTGGATGATGTGTATGGACAGACTTTTCTGTCCTGCCAGCCAATTCTCAAATAACCCCACAGGGACTTATTATTAATTATATATGACTGGCTGATAGCTTAGGCTTGTTACTAGCTAACTCTTACAACTTAAATTAACCCATATTTCTTATCTATGCTCTG